AAACAACTTTTGACGTCGCATAGAGCTGAATGGAGGAGTTCCATGGGGCCATGTGCCATGTCCCAAGTCCGAGGCCCGGAGGAGTTTAGAGTTTTTAGACTTGGCTCCATTCATAAATGGCCATGGCAAGCGGGTTTTGGCAACGTGCTCTTCGCCGGATGACTCATCTCCACTGGATGGCTTTGCTGGCAATGGGGCACGTGATGCCATCGTCGAGGTGTGTCAATTAGCAGTTAGTTGTTGCAGTTGAAGAGGCGGTCACACAAGGGGGAGGGGAAAGGGGGTTTGGGATTGGGTGCTGGAAGCGGATGAGGATGAGGAGTAGGTAATCGCTGGTGGCCTAAGTCCAGGGCGTGACTCATCTCGTCATTGGAGCTGTGCAATGTATTTGTGGCCACAGAGGTTCCTATAGACTGGTTCATGATGTTAACTAATAATGCAATATGTTTAATTAGCGAAATTCTTGTTATCCGATCACAATATAGTGGATTAAGGAATTTTTGTAAAATTTCATGCTAAATTACAATTTAATATAAGATTTGCCGGCATTACGAACTGAATAATTTCACAAACATTGTATTAAGAAAATAACCTTTTTAAGCTTTATAACTCTAATTGACGTACAATTCGAATTATATTAAAAATGTATTGCAAGAACCTTAAAAAATAAATTTAATACAGATTAAGTTTTATAGTAAATTAATGATTAAGAAAATGTTGGATTTTAAAAGTGTAAAAGGATCTCTGTTTATGAAACTAATTACCACCATCTGTTTTATCTACTACAATATAATAATTATTTAATTAATTGAAAACTAGTTCAGAGTGGAACTTGGTCGTCCACCTCTAGAGACAAACGCCTTTGCCAATTCATGAATGAAGCAATTGCCAACTGGTTTTTGTAGCGCCGCTTCCTGCGCCCTAGACTCGATCTGGAGTCGAGACTAAAAACGAGACTTGAAGCCAGACGGCGACTGGAAGTGTGCACCCACATGATCCGTGGCCCGCCGCCAATTGTGCGGGTGTCCACATCCACTTTAATACTGTGTATCCACATCCGCTGGCTTCTCTATTAAATGCGGAAGAGGGCGGCATTCATTCGTATGCAGCACCTCCCCATCCAGTTCCCTTCCAAGTTCCTGTCCATCGACTTCATCCAACTCACGTGCTGGGCGGGATTCTCCGCTGCGGATTCGCTTTTGGTTGGGGTTTCGAATCCGAGTTCTGGGTTTGGCAGTGTCGGCTCTCTTTGTGGCGCCCACAGCCGCGTGCCGCTTTGATTAATTATGCGGTGCAATGTGGCCACCTACTCCTCCTCCTCCCCCTCCCCTCTCCTCTTTCCCTTTGAATGGTTAACTGTCATTGTTCGGGCATATTTGTTTGGTTTATTTGTCTGTAACTGGCTGTAACACACAACAATTGACCCAATTATGATGACATCGGGAATATCTGGACACGACGAGTTGATTTTTCATGTCCATTGGACAACAGCACTGTGGTTCAATCTTTTGTGGGAGATCTGTGTTTAAATCTGGAAATGTGTGCGAGTTTCGTTACTTTATTTAATTAAATAATTTATCAGAATTATTAAAGAGTGCCTGAAAAATGTGGTTAAAATCTTGATTGTTTTAAAATGCGTATAAAAAACTAATTTTATATAAAGTTTAATGGTTTAGTTATTTTATTTATTTACTACTTCGTAAAAATTCTTCTTGATAAATCAGCCATCAGATTCTGGCACAACCCATACCAAATCCTGTAAATTCCATTTTCTCTGCCTGAATAAACTTTATCCTGCGCTTCATTTCTTGGCTGCTTTTCTACTTGTATTTATTTTTTGTTTTTACCATTTTCCTACTGCAAAATTCTCTGAAAAGTTGCAACAAAGTGGCAAGCACAAAGGCCAGGAGGAAGGTACTGCACAATTTTACTGTCAATTAGGCGGCCGCACGGCCAAAAGTCGAGTTTATTGTTGAGCCACCTTAAAAATTCGAGGCCGAGAAGGAGGTTGTAGTGAACACGAGGCGTAAATCTTTTCAGCGAGTATCACACTGCTAAAAAAAATAGCATAACAAATAAAATAGAATGTATTTTTAGAAAAATATTTTATATTTACTGAAATATCCCCAAACATTTAACTGAATTTTATTTTTTGAGTTCCACCATTCAGTTTTAAAAAAAATGTTTTCTCACAATATTTCAACTTTTGATCCATCATTATTTGAATTTTATATTTACTGAAAAATCCCCAAACACTAAACTGAATTTTATTTTTTGAGTTCCACCATGCACTTTTAAAAAAATGTTTTCTCACAATATTCTAACTTTTGATCAATCATTATTTGAATTTTTGGGTTTATTGTCATAGTTCTCCACTCATTTTTGTATTGTGCGCAGTTGACGAACCGCGACCCCGGGCAGGTGTGTTCGTCAGGGGATTTCAATGCCAGAATAGCAGGGATTCGGAAGCCCAAGTGGCGGGGGAATCCAAGGAGCCAGCACGAGCGCCACAGCAGCTGCCGTAAAATGGACAGCGGCTAATTCCCCGCTCGCCTGGCAAATGCCAAAATGGCAAAGCGGCAACAATGAACGCACAGGGTGAAGGTCAGATTTCGGGCAATCAAACAATGAACAATGCCCGGCCGAAAGGAATCGTTTTGAATATGAAATGAGATTGGCACACAACGGGCCGAGGAATGGTAGTCGACTTGACTGACCGTAGGTGGACTCCAATTACCCTACGGCAGCTGGAATCGCCTCGCCTCGGATTCGAAATCGGATTCGCAATCTCCTCGATCTCGATTGATCTTTCAATCAATGGCAGCTGCCTTGACCATCTCTCTTTGGAGTGCGCCAATTTTCAATCTCGAACGTCAATATTTGCCTGGACTTCAGGCAGTTTTGAAATTCCAGGAATGCCCCGCTTTTGGGTTAAACTACGTTATGTTTTATTAGTAATATGAGTAGACTAAAAAGTTCCCTATAGTTGTTATCTACATAAGTATGCGGAAACAAAGAAAGGACTTGATTTAAACATTTTAAACATTCTATAAACACACTCCCACAAAGGCGCGCTTTTAAAGATACATAAAATAAAATTGATACAACTTTTCTTATCAAATCACAGCGATCAAAGTAAGATTCTCAGGAAATAATTTATTTGTATTTTACGAAACCCAAAATTAAGCCATTAAATCAAAAATCAGAATCATCCTAATTTTGATTAATTTTTGGAGGGTAGAGATCGGTATAGTGGATGTAATCACTTCCTTTAAAGGCTTAATATGGCCTTATATTCCCATTCCAAACTACTGGGCATCAGGCACGTTATCGCCAGCTTTTTATCGTGCCACCACCCAAAAGGAGCCGCGTCATCAACGCAGATTGAAATAATTCGGAGTTGCCAACTTGCCAAGTCATCCCGAATTGGTCAGCGGTGGAGGCCTCTGATCTCCGGGCATATTCCTGGGGAGGAGCGGAGATCGCGTGCGATAGGCTACGTCAATATTTGTGTTTATTTCTGGCTCGGATCGGATCGGACCAGAAGGGAATGGGCATGGCAATGGGCATGGGTATGATTATGAGGTCCTTGTTAGTCCGTTTGAATTGGCGGCGCTTTCGCTTTGAGGTCGGACAAGTGGCTGCCCAATTTGCGCTCTGTTTGTGTATCATTTTGTGGGCCTGGCTAATTGTTTTGTGCCCTTAAAGACCGGCTACCTGACCCGATCTCGATCCAGCGATGGGAATCTCAGCGGTTTTATTTGCCCTGGATTTCATTATTTTGCGGTGAATGTGGGAAAACTGCAAGTAGGCTAGAAATTTAACAAGTTGTTTCTGTTGCACAGATTTTTGTTTGGAGTTTACTGGAAATTTTTTACAGGATAACGATGAGGGACGAAAAAGAAATGTCGACATCCCGATCTAGTTCTATACATTTATTTAGTTCTATCCTACACAAGCAAGTTTATCAAATACAGCAATTTCCAACACAAAAACTACAAAAATAAATCTCAATTCTTCGAGGGTACAAAATAATTTAATTGTATTATTGGTTTTAAAAAATTATAGTAGCAATTACTATAAATTCACCAAAAATTTACGTTTTAGACAAAAAGTACAAGTTTCTATACGAAACTTCAGCTTGGCAGCGTCTTCTGTAATATTAAGTACTTTATTACAAATACAAAATTATTTAAATCTTAACATACCATTATCGCGCCATCATATACAAATATATTAATTTATCAACCTTCCGTTGAGAATATATATGTTTCTTCGAGAATATTCTTCACGTTTAAGTATAAAAATCGAACGCTTTCTTGGGAGGATTCTCTAGTAGTTTTTTTTAAACTAGTTAAAAGTTCGATCAATTTCAAAGGCAATGATCTCACCTGAAGCGACTAACCTTCGTTATTAACGATTTGATACCTTCTGTTTTGCTTGGAGACTAGTCCTTTTTCGATTAAATTGTTCACGGCTTCATCCACATTATCAATCAGCTTCATTACTTTCGTATCGGTGACCACGCTCACCAACTTCAGGATGGCCCCCTTGGAAGCAGAACCTCCCAGAACATCCATTGACTCCCACACAATGCTCTCCAACTCGTCCTTCTCATTGTTCTCGCAGACTGGTATTTCTTCCAAAGACATTTTAAACTCAAAATTTTACACTTAAAAATTTAAAAGTTTTTGGTGTACAAAAAGTTACAATTTTATTGAAATAAATGTACACGTCCACACACGACGAAATGTATCGAAAAATGATCTTTGGAAATACTGGGTAAAGGAATGAAGTTTCAGTTGGATTTAAAGAAGCCTACTTGGGATTCAAATAAAACTTAAGTGTCAACTTTGCCTCTTTCAATACTTGCTTGTTATCGACTATCGGTCAAGATGACAACTTTAATTGCCAAAGGTGGTCTAAAGCTATTAAATTGGCTGCAACCCTATCATTCTGATTTGACAAGTTGGCAGTACAATTCTTTCCTTTTTCTGCTACGCGAACTTCGTACTAGTTGTTCAATTATTTCTACGGCTGAATTAATTCATTTAAACTTATAAGTGCTTCGAAATGAGTGATGTTGTTATTGAAAATGATTCAAATGTTTTGCAAGATACTGAGCAAATGCATTTTGAGGCAGAAGATACTAGGTAAGTACGCTAAACCACCAGTTAAAACTGCAAGTCATTCACCTAACCTAAAATTTCTAAGTTTTCTAAATGGCGAGACAAGCTGTGAAAATCCAGAGGAGCAGGAACGTTCTAAGACTTTGCTACAATGTACGCTGGTCAAAAATCAGAACTATGAGGTTGGAATGCTGATATTAATCCTTCACCTGAAAGTAAAAATTTTCTATTTAGAATTTGGCCAGCCGGTGGGTCATCTTTTATATGCAGAGCCCCGTAGCCGCATTGGTTGAGCTAATGCAATTTGTGGTGGAGGCCAGTGGCAGTTATTACCAGATCCCCAAAGACACTCCGATGCCATTCTCCTACAGCAACATCTTGATGGCCAGCACAGCCCAGTTTCAAAATGTAAGTGGAGAAATCGTTATTTAAGGGACTCGGAATAATTAATTAAAACATTTTCTCTTTTTAGGTCAGCATGTATTATCCCATGATTATGAAGACGGCCAAATCCTTTGTGAGCAGTGTGGTTAGCTTTTTACAGGCTCTACTGAAGGCGGTCGATGCCACGCCCATAATCCACGACAAAATGTTTTTGACTGAGTTAACGCGCTTTGTGATGGCGGGTTCTGAGTGCACAATTCGACCTCTTCGCCATACCAGCACTATGATAGGTGAGTTACTAAACTGAACTAAGTGCTTATCAACCAGTAAAAGAAAATATGAATTTCTTAATTACTTTTAATTGTAAAATCCATTTTTGTCTGATATATAAGTTTTCGTTTCGTCGGGAAGATATGAATGTAGCGACCATAAATAACAAATATTACAAATATTATTGTGTTTTAAAAATTCAAATCACTCATAAACCTCTTATCATAAAAAATATCTTATTAAATCGTTGGAATTAAACAGTATTTTATCTGAGGACTACAACATCAACATATTATATATTATTTTTCTTCTGTATTTAAGTTATAAAAACATAATTAAAATTATAATGCTTTGTGCTTTCATTCCAGGTCTTAAACTGATGACCATTTTGAGTGAGCTTGCGGAGAGTGAGCCGATGAAGACACTGTGGATGAGGATGTTTAACTGTCTGTTCTTGGATCGCTACCGGGATGTGGTGAACGACATCAGGCTTCTCTGCTTCTCCGAACTTGGGCTGTGGTTCAGCACTTATCCAAACTGTCACCTTACTCAACGCCGCCTGCGCTTTTTCTTCGAAGCTTTGCAGGATAGTTCGTCGGAAGTAGGGCAATGCTGCCTGGACACCATCTCACAACTCAGCCGCAATGAAGGACTTCGTCCAATGTGCCTGGAATTGGGCAGTGAATTCAAGGAGCAATTACGCAAAATTTCCCTCGATAAAGAAAGTGAACTGGGGGTGAAATCCTTGCGCATATTGACCGATTTCTATCGATCTTCTCCAGAAATTCTAAATAACGCCGACTGTCAACTCCTGGAGCAACTAATGCTCGCTGCAGATCGAGAATTAGCGCAGGCAGCAGCGGAGTTTTTCAACCTGCGAAGAATGGGAACCGGAGCAGAACCCTTTTTACGAAAACTTAGTCGTTTGTTGCACTTTTTCGTTGTCGAAAGTCAACATGAACATGCTGCCTATCTAGTAGATGCTTTGATTGAAAGTTGTGATTCGATTCTGGACTGGGAGCCCATGATAGCTATGTTGATGGAGGATCAAGCCCCAAATCAAAACGAAGTCGAGAGCATTGCTTTGATTGAAATCCTTTCCAAAGCAGTAAAGCAAGCAATCACAGGAGAGATCCCTCCAGGAAGATATACCAAAGATCTAGAGAGAAAACCGATGCCAGGAGCCCAAGAGAAGGCCACCAAGCTTCTGGCACCAATTTTGCCTGAAATGCTTCATAAATATGAAAAGAGTTGTGAAGGTCTGGAAAATCTTTTGGAACTCCCGCAGTACTTTAGTCTGGAGTACTACCTGCAGGAAGATAACTATGGGCACCTTCAGCAATTAATGGATCAGATCCAAAGCATTTTATTCAATCAGAACAAAAACTTCGTACTCCGGATGGCAGCTCACACTCTGGAGGTTCTCTATGAGTCTACTTCCTCAACGAGGGGGCATATAAAAGAGATCCTCAACAATGCGGTGACCAATTACAAGATTGCACTGCGCGCCTGGCAAGAGTCGTATGGCATGACCGGGTCCAGCTCCTCGTCCGTGCACTCATCCTCCTCATCGGGCTCCACCAAAAGTCCGAGGAGCAGGGCGCGCCGACTGCTGGTTACCCTTCGTTTGCTTTCAGCCCTTTACGGACGTTTTGATCTTAGTGCCGGGCAGATGACCGAGTCGATTTTGTCCAGCCTGAAGAGAGTGATCAGGGAGCGGGAGAGACCGGTGAAAGATTGCCTGCCGGCGGAGGCAGTGGGTCTTTATCTAGAGGTTGCCTACTTTAGCATAAGTTGGGACTTAAAGAGCTTTAGAGACGAGTCTTCCAGCGATTTCAACATGGAGGAGCCTGCTGCTTCCCTTAAGAAGCACTTGGAAGACTTTCTATTTGTTACCTTCGATCAGGTTGTGAATGAGTACGATGCGGTAATCGCATATAATGTGAGTAAAGGGAGAATAGGTTTATTATCACAACTTTTACTAATCATCTATTGATTGTAGTCATTTTCATATATATGCGATCTGTTTTTGCTATATGGAGACCAGCTGCGTAACAGTCCCCATTCCTGGGTACGTTCCATTACTTACCAACCGTCTCTTAGCGAGATAGAGCTGCTGGAAGGCTTTGTCCTGCGAAATATCTTTGTCTGCAGTCCTTTGGAAATTATGAAAGAACATAACTTTGATCAGCTGCAATGCATGCGCCGCATTGTGGCCAGCTACTGCAAACTGGTGATTTTTAATGTGTTCCCCATCATGAGAGCCTCCAAGATCTTTCAGTATTACGAAAAGGTTGGCAAGTAAACACATCACAAGAAATTTTATTCTAGTTACACTTTTTTCAGTACAATGCAGCATTTGGGGACATTATGAGAAGTTCCATGGAACAAGCCCTGAACATCAATTCCGTCCACTATGGAATGACCGTAATTCACACCTGTTTGCTGCAATACGAGAAGATTATGGCGGATAATAATGGAGAAGGTGTAAGGGCCTTCAGTTCCACAGAGTTCTCCGATCTTATTGGCCTGGCCAAACGATTGGCGGAGACCTTTAATTCCAATCTCGTGAATAATCGCCACGGTGTATTGGCTCTTCACAGAGCTGGTATTATGTATGTTTTGGAATCGGTTCAAGATAAACCGACGGATGCCCCAAAAAATCTACTCTTCTTGCGTGTCATCCAGGAGTTCGTGCCACAGGTTTTGGTACAGGACAAATCCACACTTCTTAACATGGTACAGCGCATTGAGCAGCCGGCATTACCTTCTTGCAGCAGAGAGGAGTGGCAGCCTTTGGAAGGATATCGTTCCGCCTTGAATTAGTTTTTGGAGACAACTCCTCGTCGGAAACTTTTAGAAAAGATTGCCCTATTTTGTATTTCTTGTAATCTTTTGATTTTATTATATAATTTTAATTAATACATGATTAACTGACTATTTTACCCAAAACTACTGATTTTTTAATAATGTTCTCTTGTTAAATATTAAGTATTTCTACTATATAGATCATAGTAGATCTTGCAAAAAAAGTTATATTTTAAGTAAAGATTATTAAGTTTATTGTGTGAACTTAAATCTTTGAATTAATGTCAGATTTATATATTGCTCTCCTAGACTTCCCTTAACTCAAATCGTTCGTCGTGTTCGCAAATACGTGTGCATCCTTGTTGCCTTTTTGTATGTGTTTGACTGGCATTGGGAAACCCATCTCAGTTTCACCGGCAACATTTGGCAAAGCTTTTCCTGCTGCAATGCCACCTTTCGTTCAGATAGCAACAAAAGGTTGCGTAATAACGACCAGTATCTTGTATCTGCAGGCTGCATTCAGTCGTCAGCTGCCGTGTGGTATCGAATTTCCAAGTCCCATTCATATCGAAGGCTGCGCAGCAATTTTCAATTTCAATGCTCGCTCGCTGACAAATTGACTCGCAACTTTGTGGGTTCTTTCGAGAAGCAGGGTGGCTGGAAGGGGGGTGCCCATGTCAAAGGCTGCACGAGCTAACACGGCCTTTGACACCCCGAAATGGAGGGCCGGGAATCGAAACCAAGAGCCCTCAAGGTGGGCGCTAAAATTTTGGAAACGAAATGAAATTCAAGTGGATATTGGGTCACTTCTGGTTTTGGTTTTCAAGTGCCGGCCGTTTGTCCATTTCCTTGGCACATGCCAAGTGGTCGGCACGTATCCGATTACGGGACAGAGAAACCTACAAACTCCTATGGAACTGCAGTATTTTTGCAGATTCCACTGGTCACAGCTGTGGGAGATGCTAAGCGAAACATTCCTGGCCATCAAGCACACGGTGGATCGATCTGCTGGGGAGCAACATCTGGTCATACTGATCTTAATTGGAACATCTCCTCGAAGGAGGCACACTTCGGTTGTATCTCGCTATGCACTGACAGAAAATATTAAAAAGATAAAATGCAAATCATTGGGGGTTAAGAAGAAGCTGGATAGACTCCGAATCTTTGCACGTCAGCGTTTCTAGCACCATTCTGATCACTTTTAAACCTCAATCTTTAAACCTTTGACTATAGAAATTGTTTGGTAGGGTGAGTTTTAAATCAAGATAGCACTAGCTGTAAGGATCCTGCATTTCCTTCAGTGTACCTGACAGGTAGCAACGAACTGAGCCAGCAACCTGGTCGATCAATTTCGCGTAACGGGCTGCGAGAACCGCTAGGCCATGGCAATTGCATTTCACGGTCCTTCCCGATCTCCCCCGATCTCAGATCGCGGTCCGCCAACGGAACCTGATCACAGATGTCCTGACGGGCCAGATCCGATCGCCCTCGGTTGCGGTTTAACGAGATGTGCGCCCGCCCCCTCGACACACGCCTCCACAAAAAACCCCCGAAAGATCGACCCTAGCATGATTTTTTGGCTCTGATAAACCCCGTCCCTCGAGCGAAAGTGTAACACAATTTCAGACACGCGCATCTGTCGTTCGGTTTGAGTTTCGGATCTTGAGGAACAGTTGTGGCCCCCGAAAAAAAAGACAAAACTGTTTTGCAAAAAAAAGAAGGAGTTTTAAATACCCAGAAAGGGGCGACACGTGGCACTTGATTCGTATCACATTTCTGGACTATTTCGGGAGTTTACATTTCGGCAGGGAAGGGTTTCTCTTTACTTTATTTATTTCGTTAACTCCTCTTGCCAACTGTCAACCCATTTGGCCGATATTTATGGCCAGTTGCCTTTGGCCATCGAAAATTGGGGGAGGGGTCGTCGTTTTGCTGTTGCAACTGTTATTAACATGAATTTATTGCTTGTTTCTGCGTTTTTTCGGCTACGAATTTTAATTTTAGCAGACAAAGTGTGATCGCACCGAAGTTTTATCGCTATTAGGGCTTAAAAGAGCTAAGAGCGTTGCCAACATACAGAATTTAAGGTTCCCACATTTATGTAAATTTATCAAATTTGAATTGTTATTCCATAACTATTTGAAAATTTATATTATATTTCTTAGAATTGTTGGGATTAGCAAGATTCAATTAAAAATGATTACTATTCGTTGCAATTTCCTTAGATAAAGATTTTTAAAAATAAATATTGTACCCCAAATTACCCAACATTTTTCAAACTTCTCAGTGGCATTACCCCCACTTAATTTTATTTGAAAAATGTCTTTCTAATCGTCTGTAGTACGACAACATCAACAATACCATCTTAACCAAATCCGTGTTGGCCCCGTCAAGTTGCGTGTAAAAACACGAATTTTTCGATTCATCATCGCGACAGGAGGTCCGCACTCTAAGTCCTTCGGATCCTCGCGGTTCCATTGATAAATGCCAAAAGAAATTTGTCGATTGTCAATCAGAGGATCTTGAGTTCGAGGTGATCCCTCGACTGACAGCAAACACGCGGTGTTGTCCTTACTCATTTTTTCCCCTGACTGGTGGCTCTTTTTGTTATTGTTGCTGCTGCTGGTGCTGCTGCCTAATGTCTTGGCAAATAAGGAGCGCCGCTCCTGGCGACGACTTCTGTCACGGTAGTCCCGTGTCCCCGGCATGTCCTATATCTTCTGCATGTCCTGTTCCTGCCAGGCACGGTGTGTGTAAATCAGGCCGCCTGTTTACAAATGTGTCGCCATCGCGTAACTCAATCCTTGCCGCGCTGGTCCCACAGGATGCGCTCGACAGCCGTCGCCGGCTTGGCAAACCAATAAATACCATTTAGATGTTGCCTTAAGGACTCTTACCCCGCCCCTCCGCGGCCATCGCTTACGTTTCTTACACTGAGAACAAATTCATATCTTGAATTGTGCTTTTGGGAGTTTTATTTAACCCATTGTACTATTATGAATCTTCAGATTAAAATTTATATTTACCCTTTAAATGTCTAAAACAAAAATACTCAAAATGTTTAGGGGAATGTTTAAAATGTATTTATCGAAACAAAAAAAAAACACTTATTTAATTTTAATTTAATAATTGAAATATCCAAAATCAATAGAGTATAAAACATCTTTAGTTGGCTTAGATCATGTATTTATTTATTAAGATAAGTCCTACAAAATATTTTCCGTGCTGCTTGTGTGTCAACAGAGTCATGTGTCCGCGTGTCGCCGTCCTTTACATATGTCCTTTGACACACACACTAATCCTTAGAAGGACAAGGGTATCAAGGTGCAGCTGAACTCGCGCAGGACACGCATAAATTAACGGGCACGGAGTTACGCTGATGGTAGCTCTAATCCCCGATTTCTGATCCCTGATCCTTGAACCATCCTGCACCTTTTGGCCCCATTAGCACGCGTTCTCCGCGCACGCGCAGCCACTTGAAAGAATAACGAATCTCGACTCCATACATGGGCCAAGGGCCAGGACCCAGAGTCCTTGGCTTCAAGTGCCAGGGTTAAAATTAGTCGAGCCCTGTCAGCAAATCTGATTTACGCCCCAGCTGCTCCTTCAGCGGAGATCCTTTTGTTTTCGAATCCCTGCTTCCAATCTGCGCTCAGCTTTTCGGGACTGCCTCCTTTTCTCAAATTATAATTTTAGTGGCAATCTAATTAAGCAATTACAAGCGTGTTGCTGAGTTGCGCCGCTCTTGGCGTGTTGATTTATATACTGGAAAAGATGGAAATAATGGAGGGTTAAGACAGATGTTGGATCGGTAATCTCTGGAGATGTTCTCTCTACACACTGAAGTTCAATTATTAGATGATTTCAAATTTTAAAATTTAATTCTCGTGCTATAAATTTGAGACATTGAAAATGCACCACTTTAATTACATTCAAATCTTTCTTTTATAAAAGTTTTCTTGCCTGAAATAATTATATTCACATAACTTTAAGTGCAATTATGAATTTTGCTTACCAAAATGATCCTACAATTGGATAAACAGAACTTCCTCTCAGGCTTAAATTGTACGGGAAGTTTCTCTCCTCCCATTTGTATTACTTGCTTTCCACAAAATTGGGTTTACAAAATATGAAGGTCTTCTTGCCTTTTCTTGACACTTGACACATGGGGATAGTTCAATTAAATGCAATATTTACAACACCTGACACGGACCACAAACTGGACAAATTAGTTGACAGCACAACGATGACCACAGATGGTCAGGGGTCAAGTGCTGTTCCTTGGGACCCCAGATGCACTTCTTACCCCTCCCGAATTCCCGCCAAAGGGAAAGTGTATGGAAATTAATTACCAGGCCATCGATAAACAAATATTCCATAAAGTTGTGGACATTTTCCCGATGGAGCGAACAACCCCAGGCGATCGGACACATCCTCAACAATTAATCATGCGAAGAGACATAACTTTGGGTGAGATTTTTAATGACTGCGCCTGCTGTCATCGCAGAGATCGTAAAAACTCCGGCCCGTGGGCCATCAAATAGATTTATTATTGAAAATATTTTGGCTGCCCCTTGATTGTTTTGTGTCCTTGTACCACGAATGGGACCAGGATGCGCAGGATGAGGCGGCGGCGTTTGCGGATGCCCAAAGCAAATGTTGTGTTAAATTTATTTTTATTGTATTTTGTCATTTTATGATGACTTGGCGCATTCCCTTTCCTTCGTTTTAATATTGTTTGTACATTTCCCGGGGCATTCGATTTCGATTCGTTGAGGGTCATAAATGTGGAAATGGTCAAACATTTGGAATTTCTGGGTAGGGGTATTCAGGGAGCAGCTGTCTTGGGGAAATCAATAAGTTACAATCAGAACCAGAAGCTTTTTCAGTAGCCCATACCGACTGAATACCTTCATCTACCACTCTCAATATCCGTTTGTATCGCCGACAATCCTGTATACCACACTAATTAACCCTTGTAACTCGGCGAGATGGATGACAAAAGTGGAAAGGGGCGGGATCTGGGATCTGGGATCTGAGGAGCACATACAACACCTTTACACATAATTAGGGGCCTGTTGACTGCTCCCGACAATGGATGTGTGTGTCTTTATGAAAGGTAAACACATGTCTCCTCCAAATCACTGAGAATAATACTAGGAACATATTAGAATATCAGGTTTTTCGTTTTCTTAAATATTTATTTGTTTAAAGATGTCACCAAAAGTCTTTCATTGATTCTTAATGTTAAATAAGTTGAGTAAGGAACTTCATCTTTCTGCATTCCAAAGCAATTTAACGAATTACAAGATTTTGTTCAGTGTCCACCTCACCTTCTACTTATTCCCAACCACCATCGGCTGTAGCTTCATCTTGGTGCTGCTGCCATTCATTAATCCACATAGAAATGCCAATGCCAGAGTGAGATGTTGATGGTGAGCTGATGGAGATGGAGATGGAGAGGTGTTGGTGGCCAAAGCGAATGCAAACGAAGGCGGCTGAGGCGGCACAACAACAAAGCGGCCAGAGGCCTATTAGCCACAATAAAGAGGCAGCCTCACCCCCTCGGCATCCCCATTTCCCATTTCCCATTCCCTATCCCCCAGAAAATTCTATTATGCAGATGAATGGATATGGGACTGACTGGCTGGCTGGCTGTTTGTGTGTTTGCCCCGCCAGATGCCATTACAATGTAAACCCAACATAAGTTCACTCGGCAAACTTGATGCGGGCATGGATCAGGGGACATCTTCATCTTCTGCATACTTATACTAGTATAGCCGAGGCAGCACTTCCAGCCGCCGCAGCGGAACAATTGATCAAATATCATAATTTATCAAATGACAATGCAACAGGCGGCGGCGGCCTCAGAACGTTTTCATTCCCGTGTTTACTTGCCCCAGTCCCCAATCCCCAATCCCCACACCACAGACCCCGATCTCGGCTTACCGATCCTCCATCCATTCGAAAGCTACATCTTAATTTATTTGAACAATTTAGGTCTGACACAACAGCCATCGTTTGGCTGTCGTGTTCGGTTCTCTTATTTATTTCGATGGTCAGTCGGCCCCAATCTATTTAGCATAATTGCAGCTCCGATTGGAACCGAGACCAAATGATAATGCATTCTTGTGTGGGGTCTGTGTAATCCTAGATAGGCCACAGTGGGTCAAATAACCAAATTAAAAGGCTAGGGAAAATATTGGGACAAACCGTTTATTGTTCTATTATGGTAAACCTGGTCAAGGCATTAGTTCTAATCTTACTGGGGAATGCATACTTTATTCAAGATGGGAAGATTTCAAACCAAATTGTGTCAAGTTTGCTCGTAAATTGATATATTAATTCATGGTAGATAGGCTTCATTTCGGCTTGTCTTGGCTTTCTTCAAAACTATTATTTTTGAAGATACTATTTTCGTGTCATAGCTGAAGAATTCGCTAATCACACAAAATTTATTTAATATCATAAAAGCGTTTGGTTTCTTTTATATGATTTGATATGATTTAAAAGTAAACCTTTGAGAATATCATAATTCTAATATTATGCCTTGAAAATAACTTCGTTCTCTATCAATACTCCTCGTGTAATATTAAAAATTTGTTGTGAAGCGTTTTGGATGGAGTATTAAGTGAATTTACTGCAAAATTCGCTTAGGGCATTTCTATCTCTTAATTTCTTTGAGTTCCAAGACGCAATGGAAAATTATGAGAGGGCAAGGAAGCTACAGGAAGAGGCAGGAGTTCCTCCTGGAGGGATCAAGCGCTGCTGCTGCAATTGCCGGAGGAAGCTGGATCCCTACCAGCTGTTCGATGACAACGTGGAGGATATAGCCAAGAGCCTCGCTCAGATAATGCTGATCTGCGGCATCAGTACGAGCAAATCCTGTGCAGCAAGGTCGATAATCAAGAGGGCTTTCGTTTACCATGAGCGATTGCGCACCACCTGTCCACCAGCTCCACTTCCAGGCACTCGGCTGAATCGTGAGGATCTGCTGCAGGCTCTGCGACTGAAGTGTGAAATGGAACCCGTGGAGGCGATGCTCACCTATGCGATCATCAAGAGGGCCTTCAAGGCCTTCTATCATGGCAAGCCACAGGTGACCATCAGTAATCCCATAGTAGATGCAATGGCAGTGCACACCCAGTTCGCTGCTTGGATGCACGCTGCCCACAAGACCTCCAGGCTCTTCGACAACTACAAGGCGGCTTTCTTCTGGGCCCACAAACACTACGAGCGGCAGATCAAACTGGTGTACACGTCCCTCTACCAGCGGATGACTACCAGATCAGACCCGCTTTTAGTTCCCGGATGCCCCTGCAAGGGCTGCTCCAAGCAGGAGGTTCCCGGTCACCCGAAGGCTGGCCAAAGGCCGATGAAGAAGATCAAGCTTTCGGAGGGGGCAGATCTACCAGAACCCTGCATCCTTTGTGGCCTGCAAGTTCCTCGAATGGAGAAGGATGTCAAGATGAGGAAACCACCGCGACCCATAATCAACCATGAGGTCAATCTGCCCAGATGTCAACAGTGCAATTCTCCCTTCCTGATTTGCGAGTGCAACATAGATCAGTTGACTGGCGAGCAGTTCGGCGAGTGTGGACAGGACTCCTACAAGGTGAAGTGGTATCGTCTCGAAGAACCGGTGGACATTTCACAACCCAAAGCACCACCGACTGGCGAAGAGGAGACCGACACGAGCTATGCCGAAGTGATGGAACCTCCAGATGACTGGGACAATCACCACTGTCCACTCGACTGCAAACACGACTCCTGCAGCGAATCCACGAATGTGTGTCATGCCACCTCGTCCTCGGGATCTTCGGATAGTGACTTTGCCAGCTGCTCGGATGGCGAAGGAGAGGAGGACGTTGTGGCACAATTGGAGGAATACCTCAACAAACTGTGGGCGGAGGAGGTGGCTCAGAAGAAGAATCCATCTTATGTGCCCAGGGTCATCGAACCACCTGGTCCAAGGTGTACAAGGTGCAAAGACTAATTGTTCGGCTTTTGGCATCTCTCTGTTTGGCTTCGACTCATACCTATTTCTATATTTATATTTTGGCTATATAAATTATTGAGCAATAGAAAGTAGGTTCATAAAATATATTTGATGTTCAAAATTAAAGACTCTTCTTAAGGAGAGGGATGTTGCATTCTTAAGTTACCTAAAAAGGATTTACGAATTGTTTGGCTTGAAAACTAGTCTATAGTCTGTAAGTGCGGAATGGGTTCTGTCACTTCTAGAACTACCTTCAGTTCAACGACTTCCCATCCCACTCCCACACCTGGGTAATCGATCGCCCACACGGGAGCCGGCGCTTATCACGCGCCCACAGATCGCGCCTTGACAATGGCCACTTAAAATGCCATTGCCGGTTGTAATCGCCTCTAAATTGCTGGCACCTCGGTGGATTGCTGGATGCAATGGCTCGGGGGATGTGGCATTCAATGGGATGGAGCTACTGTTGTCATCGCCGGCTGCTGCTCCGCCCAGCAGCAGCTCCCAGGAGCTTCCACATAAATCGCTGCGTTTATCTAAGCACTTGCATCTCGCGCTGAACAGAGCCACAGGCACGGTTGGTGCGGATCCGCGGATTCGGGATTTGGGATTCGGGATTCGCCTGTTCACGCTCCTCACCGCTTATCAATCTCAGCTCATCTGCACGCAGAACAGAACAGAACCAAACTATACCGAACCGAACCGAAAAAACAAGAAAAACAAAACGGAACAGAGTTGAAGTTGGAGAACATCTTCTGCGAAAAATAATTCCGCAACTTGTCACATTTTGCAAGATTCAAAGTCGCAGAGACAGGCACTAAACTGCAGACGCCTCTGCGCCAGGGATTCGGGGTTTGGCCAGCAATGAGGAGTCCTTGACTGTCTGGTTCCAACTATTCCTACAGGGTATTTGTAAATAAAGAGGTATACTCAAAGGGTTAAACTATAAATATAAAGATTAAAGTTAAGGTGCATACAAAAGATCGAACCATTAATGCCAATACGGACTAGAAGTTTATTATGTCGCAAGGGATAATTTCATAATATTCTCGTCTAATTGTCATAACAACTTTGTTTTCTAATTTATGCTGATTACTTCAGGACTGAACATAAAACTTACGCAGTGTAGAAGAGATTCAATATTTTAAAGCAATATTTTTAAAAGGGATTTCTTCGGTCGATCTATCCCAAATTACCCTCACTATTTGGCTAGGCTTAGACTTCACCCTCGAATCTCCCTTCTGTCCTCCCGAGTGCCTCTGCATCTGTCTGTCGCTGTGGCATGTTAAACTGGAGTCACATTTGCATATAGATTTATTTTTATGGCCTCTGCCTTTGGATGGCTCGTGAACTATTTATGTGTGACGATCGCATCGGATCGCATCGGTTGGGGGAGAGATCTGAGCAGACCCCGTCCGAAAATCGGTTCTTTCCCAACTTTTCACCCATTAAATATTTGGAAATATTGGAAAATCTCTAGATTATTTCGTCTTGCCAAATTCTTAATTATGATATGCTCACATTGGATTTCTCTATTACCCCAGATTTGTGTCTCCCCATTCCTTTATTTTCGTTGGAGATTGTGTGTGGTAAACAAAGCTCTCACACTCAATTGAGTGGCACTTCTCGATTTTGGATGGAACTTGGGAACTGTTTAAGAGACCCAAGAAACCATTGAACTTTTCAATAGCCATCAAATTTGCGTCTAATGCGAACTGAGTCTCAGAAAGTTCTCCACCAACGTCTTAAAATTTGTTATACCCCTGCATTCGATGGGCACTGCAACCACTCGAAGTTCTCTTTGAATGTTTCATTCTAGTGCACTCAAAAAAATTATAAATTTGAATAATTCATTATTAAGGTATTTTAAGAGAAAACGAATTAAGAAATATACTTCGAGATTTTTTCTACTTCTGATAGAGATTGGACTTAGTTTTTAGTAGCTAGAACCCAAAGACAATATCTTAAAATACAAATAAGGATACCTACACTAAACAGAAAATAATAGCATTTTAGTGCATACCGACATTTTGAAACTATTAGAATTGAAAATAATTTTTTCCGTGTATGTTCTGTTCCGATCAGTTCCATTGTTGTGGGCCTGGAGCTTAATAGTCTTTTTATAGCTGCACTTTTTCAACTTCAATTAATGAAGTGTCGAGTTGTTAACACCAAAACACACGCCTTACTCCCAGTGGTGCAGCCTACTTCTCCCGATCCCCGATCCCCGCCTCCGTTTACCATCTCCCCATGGACGCCTATTTCCAAACATTTCACCCAGCCGCGAGATGGGAACAAACTTCGTTGCTGCTGCAGGTGGGGCAGCCGAAAATGTAAACAAACAAATTAAAACGAGCATCGACAGCAGCCGCAGACTTCGCCTCAGGTGAGAAAACGGGCACGGAAAACGGAGTCGGGCACTGGGAAAAAGGGGCCAAAGGGAAAATGCATTTTCACGGCAGCGCCAAAAGCAAACATCCCAGACAGAAGGCAGGGGGTAAATGGGGGGAAAAAGCCGCGGAAACGTCCAGAAGCTCTTTAATCCCAAAAACTTTGGTAGCACTTAACGCTTTACGATTCTGGTGAGGAGGCCTTTAAAGTATTTAGATATCAAAGTGGGAAAGAGGAGATATGGAGCCAACCGTAAAGCCTCCCATCCGGTGCACTTTTTGGCGACACTTTGTCTTGATTGAGTACTTAAAGTTTAATGTGCCAGACTAAAAACTAAACTAAACTAAAACGTTAATTTCACAGTGAGAAAATTTAAGGTACAAAATGCATAAAAATAGGAGAATTTTAATAAACTCTTTTGGGGAAGAATGTTATTGTCTATCCAAGCTTTTTTTTTTTATTGGGAGATAATATTGTTTTATTACAAATTTAGTACAAACATCAGGGAAACTATGTTGGTTTTCCCAGCGTAGCACATTCCCCTCCACTTTTCTCTTATTTATTGATCAGTTAGAACACTTCTCACATCATCCCATTGTGGTGCAGTTTGCTCCGCTGCTTCACGGTGTCCAGAAATCAGAAATCAGTGTGGGAAAACAGTTGGAGCGTCAACTGAAGCGCCGCTTCCACCTGAAACTCCAAAAAAAAAAAAACTTGGAGAAGGCCGCCGCCAACGCATCCGAGAAGTTGGAAACCAGAGCGAAGAGCAGTGAGAAAAATGTTAATGATAAACCTGTTTGTCAATTAAACAAAAATATTGTAATAGTTGATAACAGAGTGGGCAAACATGGAGTGCAGTGAGAGGGAGTGAGATGATGAGAACTTCCCAGAACCGAAATGGTATGATGGGGCGAGGGGAGGAACTGGAGGGCAGAGGAGCAACAAGGGACAACCTGTCAACCCAAAGGGCCCAAAGGCTGGGGACTGACTCGATGTGCTTGACTTTGGTTTCATTATCGCCTCGGCTCGCCTTCAACTTCAATTTTACCATGGCCCAGGCCTAGTTCGAATTATGCACTGGAAAAAAATAAAAGAAATTTATGTGTCTTTCCTTCAAAATATTTTTAAAATATATAAAAGTGTAGGCTTTCGAAGATAATGATAATCATTATCATTTTGTTAATCCATAAAAGGTTTTCTAATATCTTAATTTATAATTTTCCACTGTCATCAAATTTTACTATTCTGGATTTAGAAAGCCTTTCTTTGATATCTTTTTCTCTCAGTGCAATCCCAGTCGCAACTCTTGGCCAGTTGGCCGCTCTGGCTTATTGTTTAGTGAAGCATTTAACTTATAAATATGGCTGTGTGTGCCAAGAGGAAAAGTGTTTTGTGTATGTGATACCGTTTTGAAAGACATTCCGAGTGAGGATGTGGATGGAGAGGAGGGGAGTTGTAGTCGGCGGGGGAAATGGGGAGCATCCCGGGCACTTCACTCACAGCGCTGTGAAATATTTCCCATGACAATTCTGTTTGTTTTTCGTGCATTGTGTGTGCCCTGCCGCCCGGCTGCTCGGTTGGCACCTCCTCCTCACCTGGTCCCCACTCCACTCCACTCCACCCAGCTGCCCTGCACCTTATCCCACATTTCTGGACCGCCTTGTCTTGTCGTCGCCCACTCGTTCGCGCTCGGAGTCCCGTCACCAAGGGCTGCCCAACGCAGGTTCCCACTCCATCTCCATCTCATCTGTAATGGTATGGTCCACAATGTGGAACAAGTTTGCTCTATTTGCTTTATCTATGCCCATTGCCGGTGACGGCTGTCTCGGCTTTTTCCCAGGCACAAGGCTCCACTTGAGCGACAATAGCTGCCAGGCAATTCCCACCTCTCCTGCCCATCGGAGCCCCATTTGCCCCCCAATCGATCTCCCATATGGCGGCATTAGCTGATGGGTATTTCAACAGGCCACGCGGCACGGGTTGGCATGCCAGGCATCCCTCCAGCCTTCGAGCAAGTTGCCAAAACAACCCAACATTTTGAAGGGAATTATGGCGGTTTTTGGAGGACAAAAATTCGAATACTGAATGCTCTGTCCATTAAAAATAGGTTAAAATTGGTAGATCTTTAAATCACGGAAAGAGGGCTTAATTTTTCATATAAACCATTTCATAAAAAGCATGAAAAATTAAATAATCTTATAAGGACGTATTTAAAAAGAAAAGAAAAAGAAATAGAAATCATTGAAAATCCTAAATTTAAATTAAAATCTGATTGGTTCAAAGCCGGCTCATTATTTAAGTAGTTTTCAGACCACTTGCATTTCTTTTACTAATGGCAACACAATTTAAAGCAACCTGATCTCCTGTATAGAGTATCACTTATTAAGCTCCTTTCATTCCAGAGCTGTCGGCGAGGTCAATGGAGTGCCGCCGAAATTCCGCGGAATTAAACCAGCAAGAACCCACAGAAAAAAGGCCAAAAGCGAAGGAAGAACAAACTCAAGTCAACTAAACGGAACCACACCGAACGAGGGCAATTTGCGATCGTTGGTAATTATAATTGGTGGGGGCTCAGGGACTCAGAGGAAGGTGGTGGATCGATTGGGGCACTGGTATTCGGTCCACCAGTTGATGAAGGCCAGCTTGGAGGATCCCTGGCGAATCTGGCGCTCCTCGGGTGCTTTTTGGATGAGGGAGCAGAGGGCGCAGTAAGGCTGGATGGCTTGGCGCAGTTTGTAGATGGAGTGCCACCAAAAATAGCGTCTGTATTCCTCCCGATTATCCGTCAGCTCTATTAGGTGATCGATTAGATCCTTTGGGGTGGAAAAGTCTAGTCCGCTGATGTAGGAATGAGGTGGTACTAGATTGGTTAGATTTCCTCCTCCGATCAGGACGGGTACTATAAGTTTATCCATGGCCATGAGCATCTGCGAAGGCACGTAATCCGGACAGGCACTTGTTTCAAAAATCAGCATGAAATGGTAGTGACTGCAGCTAAACGGGGGAAATTAAAAGGGGGTTAATAAGGGATCAGTTTAGTAAATTGCAATGTCCAGTATATATCTCCGAATTTACTCACTCATCAGGGCCCAAACAACTATCATGGGCATCGAGATCCGCATATTTTCGCAGCTCCTCCAAATACAGACTCTCCGAAAGAGTATTCTGATCCACATCGAACCACAAGTACACGGCCAGTCGTGTCTTCTTACTTATTTCGGATTCCAGACGTTCGTTAATAGAGCCTGGCAAATCATCGCCGAAATTCTGGCTGGGATTACGGAAACTATTTAACCGCCTGGCCAGATTGGGATGAGAGAAGTAGTAATCCGTCCAGACCAGTTGCGAGTCCAGGCGATAGGTCATGGTTAAATTGAAAGGTGGCAGCATTAAACCAGGCATTGGATTCTGCGTAAAACTCAGTGGCTTCTTGGCAGAATATACCACATAGTAATCCGGAGTATGTTTGATGCTATCCAAACCCGCAAAGGAGTAGGGCTGATCTGCATTGAAGACCACTGCATCAAAGGGTTTGTCGTTGTGGTTCCTGCGAGTGGTGACCAAACAACCACACTCCATGTGCGCCGTTCCACCAGTCATTAATTGCTCGTTCCACAGCAGGATCATCCTGAGTCTGGTTTCCTTCTCAATCCTTAGCCGACGGTACAAGGGAATGGTGGCGAACAGCACGCAAATGGTTACCACGGCCACAATTGCTTTAAGGACATTCATACATTGATTGGGCGAGTAGAGTTCCCGCTGCAGATTCCTCATAGAGACTGGAGATCTCCGCGGAGGTGGAAGCCTAACAGCGTCCTCCGAGTTTATCGAATCGCTATCCGGCATCCTGCGACTTGTGTCCTTGGCAGTAGCCTCTTCAGTAAGAAGTTGGGGTGGCAAAAACCTGGGAATGTCCTCCATCTCATCCGTCTGCTGTTGTTGTTGCTGCTGCGGATCGGGATTCCGCCGGAAACTGAGGATCTTGTCCACCGGCGTTCCACGAAGCTTGTCTATCGGCATTGTCAGAATATAGGTTTGCAACTTGAACACTTACAAATAATTTGGCATTAAAAGGTTTTGGCAACTGGTGGAATTAAAGAAAAGTAATTTACATTTGAAAAATGAATTAGTGAACTCCTAAAAATAATTTCTTGGGTATAATTTCTTAAAATAAAACTTTCAGATTGAGTGTTATATGAATTGAAAAGAACTGCAAAGAGTTCAAGTTACTGAATACGAGTTTTGAATTAAAAATCCATGCAGTGCTCTAATTAAAATAGAACAAATTCTTCTACAATTATGATTTACTTGCTCTTTGATTTCTATTGAATTGTGAAATGAAATACAAATTGCATGGCATCAAAACGTCGCTGAAAATTGATTGCCTCGATCGGGCGAACTTTAGGAAAACCCTTTTCAATCAATCCATCGTTTCTCACTCCCCCCACCACCCTGCCCACTTTTGCATTTCCGATTTGGCACTTTCATCAGGATGCCCACTTCCTCTGCGCCTTTTCGCCGTTTTCAACCCGTTCAGGCGAACAGGAACAAAGTAATCAATCATTTTGCCAAACCATCAGAAACATGACAATCTGCCAGAAAATTTGCGTAACGTTTTACGATTCACCGTTGGGCAAGGGAATACATGGCCAGAACGCTGAACAATCCATCGATGATATATCACTGCAATTTCGAATATTCATTTCGCAGTAGTTGTTTTTTCCAATGACTGCTTCTCCCTTCACCGTCCCTCTGCCCTCAGTCTGGGCTCATTTCAAATGCGTTCCGCATTCGCGATGAGGATGTGGATTGGTCGGTGGAGGAGAGGTGGAGTTGGGCGGAGTGGGTGCCGAATAGTGGACAGTGGAAACGCCACTTTGCGGACGTGCCAGGCGCTTGAATGGATCGCCGGCGGTGGAGTGGATGGATGATGCCGGTGTCATTGTTTCCCTCGCCCATCCTCCTTCACGCACGTTGTCTCAATTATGGGAAAGTGCCAGTGAAAAAGAGAAAAATGTGTATACAAAGAGGGACGGCACTCAAAAAATTAAAGTCCCTTACATGTTTGTGATTTTACAGAACTTTCGGAAATATATAATTTGAATAATTGGATAGTTTTTTAATTTGGGGATTACAAATTTTAGTTTAAAATTATAGGTAACTAATTTTTTTATATGTATGTATATAAATATATTTTATAGATTTTGTGGATGTGCTTAGATTAGTTACATTTTTATTCTTTTAGTAAATGGAATATGAACTTTTAATGCCATTTGAAAAATAAGTGATTTCAAAGAGCTTCAGATTTATTTTTAAATATATTAATTTTTTGTTTACAGGTACCATTATTTTAAGTTAGTGTATAAGTGCGGGACGAGCTACCAATTTTCGAATTGACAACCATTTAAATGTTACGCATTTATGTTAACTTCCCCGACGTGACTCGCCAGGGAGAAAAATGCTCAAAAAAGGGATTCGGGGAAGAGGAGGCCATGTAAATTGCCTGGATCCGATGAGTTTTGAAAGTGAAATGGATTTGTGATTGCCGGCCAGACGAGCGAAATCCACGAGGCGAACGTATTAGAAGAACCCTGTGCAAAACAAAGAAAACCCAACCGAAGCGAACCCAAACATATATAAATTTTAATTATTCCTGCGAATCGCTGGCGAAGGAAAACAAATGCATTCTGAGATCCCAATACCAACGATCCTGCTTCAAGTCGGCGAATGGAATTGAAATTCCATTGTGAATATTTTTTGGGGGCGTTGCCGGCGCGTCGAGAAAAAATGCAATAAATATGCATATGAGAGAGCTCACCTCCGAGGAGGTGCCTTAAAAAGGGAGTCCCGAGGAGCCGTGGAGTTATGGCGATTTGAATAATTTGGTTCCCACACTTTCGAAGATCACTCCACTGGCAGCCGTTTTTAATTAAAGTTATTAATACTGCTCCTCCGACTAGGTGATTTACCTAACCACAAGATCACCGCTTGCCCATTTCAGACTTCGCCGCTCACTTTTGACTTCTGACTCATGGCGCGGCTACTTATCGGAATTGGAGGTGTCCTTTAGCCCCGAACTCGATCGGCAATTAAATGCCGCACACATTGTTGGCAACTGCTTAATTATCCATTCGATCCCATTCGATTCGATTCGATTCCAAAGAGCCGCCTCCAACTCGATTGCGTTTGTCTCGGACCTCAGGGTTTAAGTCTTAAGGAAAAGAGCTAACGAATTAACATGTAATTATCTCAGCTTGGGCCGCTGGCCAAAGGAAACGCATCGAATCGCCGGCGACACCCGGACCAAAAACAAGCGTGGCTAATAGGGATGGCAGTTTAGCTATAATGCTAAAAGAAATAGTACTGTTCCTAAATGTGCAGGTGCTTTGCTTTCAGCTATATTTTGTATTAGCCAAATTAACAGTGGATTTTGGGGGGTTATTATATTGTTAAATATAATTTATTTTAATTAAGAAATCGTTATAAAGAACCTTAAAAAATGTTTTTAAGTTAAATCTTATACTGTTAATTTTTTTTTTAGAATAACACAGTGTATTTAAATAAATATAAAGGTTTATCATTTCCAGCAATTTTAACTCATCATTTTAAGAGTTTACTTGTTTGATTAAAATATTTTTTGGTTTCTAAAAACTAGAACTCGTAATTTGGCTACTTTCTGTAATTTATAAACAGGCAGCACTGTTGGGCAGAAACGCGACTGCAGCCTAGACCCGAGAAAAGATACAGATACAAACTAAACCGTGCCAGGGGATTCCAGAGGCTGAGGTAGCAGCTGCCGCAGGTTGCGTGCGTGCCGCTTCTTCCTCCGCCCCCTTCGATTCCTAATTCCTGCTTCTGGGGGCGTGGTCCTTCTTAGGCGGATTCCCAAATTGATCTCGGACTTGGACCCTTCGACCACCCGCACTAATAAGATGAAGGGGAAGTGGCGCTAAAGTTGTCAGTCGCCTTGTCCGCAGGCGACGATCCTCTACACCCTAATTAGGTGTTATCTACGACCTGGGTTCTGCTCCTTTAATGTGGCCGACAAAGTGAGAAGGTTCGGCCAGTGCGGTGGAGTGATTAAATAAGATACACCTCAAAGACCTCCGAGGACTTTCTCTCGCAATCAGCTTGGCGCCACCAGAAAGCGGGCAATTTAAATAACAAGATTCGGATGATATGGTAAATTGCTTAACAAAAAAATAAAATAGTTTAACTTATAAATAATATTAATGCGATCTGATTATTGAGGCATCCCATTATTTAAAATATTTTTATAGCAAGCCAAACTTATAAGTAAGGCAAGTTATTGCTTGGAAATTGTTTATATTTAAGCCAGCGTTTTTAATAGTTTTTTATTGGGTGCTTAAAATTAAATTTTTTTAAAAGATTGGTTACTTTCACACGAATATGACATCATCTGGTGGCAGCCTGGACTTGCTTGACTCATCCCCATTTGGCGCCACTCATTTGGGGCTGAGTGTGATCCATCACTGACACACTTGTCCAGTCGCTTGTGCTTATCACTGCCCGGCACTGTCCGGTAATCGCGCTCATTGTCAAATCCAATTCTTCCCGACTGTTTTGCGCAATTGATGTTGATGGCAATCAAGGGAAGGGCAATTGCTGCGATCAGCGGTAGAGACCGCTCATTTTTATCACGGAATGACACATCCGGAAGCTGGCAATCAACAAGCCAGAGCAAAGCGGATTTCGCTGATTTAAACGGAGGCAGCTAATTTGTGACCCACTCTTGCTCTTTATCTATGAATGCAACTGCAAAAGTTCACAATTAACTGGGTAAACTGGACCACAAATCTTTATTATGCACTCAAAACTAATATGTGTATGGTTTCATAACAAGTTCAGATTACTGGCGATAAGAGACTTTCTTTTTGCTACCTTATATAAAATAGGACTTAACGAGTACAGATAAAACTTTTAATACTTATTTAAATATACAATTTATTGTTTATCTCATATTTACAAAAATTCAGGGAGATTTACTACTAGTGGTCACTGACTCATTGCAAATGCAGTACTTTTTCACCTTCGCATCTTTTATACACCTTGAATCATTTTCGTAATTGTTTAACCTACTCAGCTCCTCCACATTCATGGTCAGCTTTTTAGTTCTCTTATTCCATCTCACGGTGGCTTCGAACAATCCTCTGGGAATGGCCCAAAACTCCAAAGTGTAAATATGCTCATCCGGATCCGTGGGTTTGGATGCAGTGGCCAGGATAATCTTTCGGTATGCCTTTCGGATGCGACCCAATTTCAATGTTTGACAAATATCTGTGATATTTTTCTCTCGAAAGTGTTTGTTTAAACGGTCCACTATGGCCTCGCCAATTTCATTGATTAGTTTTGGGTCGTTGATGTTTTCCGGTGGGTGACAAGTGCACCATTTTTCATCAACACCCGCTTCGGCACAAGTTCGATTTACTGGAAGCTCAAAGAAGAGCGATTGACAAGTTTTACATTTAATCGCCTGGAGATCGGGATCAAAACCAGCCATGGAATCGGTGTTCAGTTGGAGTAGATGTTGCAAAGTCATGTGAAGATCGTAGTTTGAGGAAAGGCGATTGCGGTTGTTTTTCAGGCTTTCCACATACTGTGGATATTTCGTTCTAAACCAAGGTGGAACATATATGAAAATCATGGGCAGTCGCTCTTCGAGAAATCCCGAGGATTTCGATCTAAGAGAGTTGTATCGATCTCCATGGTCGCTCATAAAAATGACCACTGAACGATTGAAGAGTCCCAGTTTCTCGAAGTTGTCCAAATACTCTTTGAAAGTGTCATCCAAAGATGTGGCTCCCGTCATGTAGTTATGAGTAAAACTATTGCTCCAGAGCAGTCCAAATATAGGAGCCTCGTTCAAAAATCGCTGAATAAATTGTTGGCCAAAATCCCAAACATACTTAAAACTCAAATGACGGCCAACACAATAGGCCCCGGTCAAATATGAAGTTAACTTTAGAGTAGCCTCGGCGGCATAAAGAAAGGGTCGCAGATAGTAATCCACTGGCCGATAAACAAATCCAGCCAAGTTAAAGTTAAATGTGCTAATATTCTCACAGTCCTCAGCGAAAGCTGTTGTGTAGCCCTCTTTTTTAAAGCGCTTCCAGATGAAGTTGATTTTGTCCATGCAACCGCGGTTCCTTAGATTGCAATGCTTTTGTGCTCGATCAGTCGATGTTCCTGCAAGTACGGCCAAAAGATTGGGTAGCGTGTTGTCGCCCACCTTATTGTATCCCTGCATCTCGAACCATCCCTCTTGATCTACATATTTCGAAACCTTTGGCATGGAACGGCGAAAGTTCATCCGGGAGGTGGAGTCCAGACCCATAATAATCACACTGGGCTTGGGCTCATCCGTCCTATTCATTATCTTAAAGTTTTCTTCCAACTGTTTAGGAGTAAAGAGATCCTGAACAAAAGCGAAACCATCCCGTTGGATGGCTTTTGATTCCTCGGTTTTATTTACGATTGAGCAGGAAGTGGTTAGAAATTGGACATCTTTGGGCAGGACCAGATGGTGGGTTAAAGAACGATGATCTGATAGACTATAAATAAATAATATAAATAAAGCCATTAGACAAGAGAAGAGATCTCAACTTTAACCCACCTATATGAATCATCCGGCCACAAATTCTTATCGTTTCTTGTAATTTTCTGATAAAAACAGCGCAAGGTTATATTAGCTTTAAGCCCTTTAACTAACTCCTTGTGTATGTGCAATCGATAGAGCTTAGTTTTTGAGTCGAATTCGGGCGTTATAAGGTCTCTATCGTGGTGGCAGACCTTTAACTTACGGGTCCGAAAACTTGACATTACTTCCTGGCTGAAGGGATCCACATATGGCATCTTGCAAAACTCGCTTTCCACAAAGTATTTTGTATGGTTACTGGACTTAAATTTCCATTTTGCGGAGGATACAAAAATTAACAATAACCAGAGAAACAGAAGTAGTTGCTTACTCCTCGATCTCATTGTTTCAACTAACTCAAAGTTGGGTTAAAGTACTTTAATTTGAGGGAATAATCATGTTAAGCATGGTTAAGGCTTTTGAAACATTTGTGGTAATGTAAAAAGCTATGGCTCACATTTAATGCAAGTTTGTGTATTCTATTCTATTTAGGACCTAGTAAACTTAATGGAATACAAAAAAAAAAGCAGACATCGGCAAGTCGAAGTTTGTATATCCTTGCAGATCTTACAATAATGATTTCTTCTATATTTCGATTTCGATGCTTTGACCCCAAAATACAAAACAAACTGAAGCACAGTTTTTTAGGGAGTTAAAACACAATCATTTAGAAGTATGCCATTTGTAATTCGGATTACTTTACGAAAAGTTATGGGCATAGAAGTGCAGGTTTTAGGCCCCATTTCTGCAAAGCCGTTTTTAGAAAATTTGGAAAGGGGTAACATCATTAAAATGACGGAAAATCGACCCCAAAATGCAAAACAAACTGAAAACGCAGTTTTTTAGAGAGTTAAACCACAATCATTTAGCAGTATACCATTTGTAAATCGGTTGACTTTAAGAAAAGTTATGGGCTTAGGAGTGCAGGTTTTAGGTGACTTTTCGGCAAAGCCATTTTTCAAAAATTTGGAAAGGGTCAATAATCTAGTTTGATATTTGAAAAAAAAAAATTCTCTCACCCTAAAGTCCCAAGATACAATCCCAATAAAAAACAACATTCTATTATGATATGAATATGTTTTATTTAAAATAATGGAAATTACAACAAATGTTATATTTTAAAGACCTAATAAACAATTAGAATAATGTCAGACAATAGAAACTAGCTTAATTTAGTACTAATGCTCTATGTATGTCTTTTAATTTCAGATATAAAATAATAACCGCTTAATATAACTCTTCGCTGTTGAGGTGGAAAAAGGGAGACGACGACTGGTAAATCCTGGATAACCTTGAAGACGACACTGAAGCCCGGCACAATTCCTTGACAATGCTGATCCTGATGTCCTTACCGCATTCCTGTATATATAATTTTTGTTAGTTTAGATATATCGGTTCTTAAATTACAGAATTCAAATAAAGGTGATTTTATACAAGAAAATGTTGCACAAATTTTATTTCTGGGGACTCATTCATTCTTTTTTATATTTTCTTAATAAATAAGTATCGGAAACCTTTTATAAGTTTATTTAAAAGGAATATATTTTTACAAAATTAAACCACAATCATTTGGAATTATTCCATTTGTTAATCGGATGATTGCAAGAAAAGTTATGGGATTAGAGGTGCAGGTTTTGGGTGACTTTTCAGCAAAGCCATTTTCCGAAAATTTGGAAAGGGGTAACATTATTAAAATGACGGAAAATCGACCAAAAAAAAAAAAGAAACTGAAAACACAGATTTTTAGAGAATTACACCACAATTATTTTGAGGTATGCCACTTTGAAATCTGATATCTGTAAGAAAAGTTATGGGCATAGAAGTGCAGGTTTTAGGCCACATTTCTGCAAAGCCGTTTTTCGAAAATTTGGAAAGGGGTAACATCATTAAAATGACGGAAAACCGACCCCAAAATACAAAACAAACTGGAAACACAGTTTTTTAGATAGTTAAGCCACAATCATTTGGAAGTATGCCATTTGTAAATCGGATGACTTTAAGAAAAGTTATGGGCATAGAAGTGGAGGTTTTAGGCCACAATTCTGCAAAGCCGTTTTTCGAAAATTTGGAAAGGGGTAACATCATTAAAATGACGGAAAACCGACCCCAAAATACAAAACAAACTGGAAACACAGTTTTTTAGATAGTTAAGCCACAATCATTTGGAAGTATGCCATTTGTAAATCGGATGACTTTAAGAAAAGTTATGGGCATAGAAGTGGAGGTTTTAGGCCACAATTCTGCAAAGCCGTTTTTCGAAAATTTGGAAAGGGGTAACATCATTAAAATGACGGAAAATCGACCCCAAAATACAAAACAAACTGAAAACGCAGTTTTTTGGAGAGTTTAACCACAATCATTTAGAAGTATGCCATTTGTAAATCTGATGACTTTAAGAAAAGTTATGGGCATAGAAGTGGAGGTTTTAGGCCACAATTCTGCAAAGCCGTTTTTCGAAAATTTGGAAAGGGGTAACATCATTAAAATGACGGAAAACCGACCCCAAAATACAAAACAAACTGAAAACGCAGTTTTTTAGAGAGTTAAACCACAATCATTTAGCAGTATACCATTTGTAAATCGGTTGACTTTAAGAAAAGTTATGGGCTTAGGAGTGCAGGTTTTAGGTGACTTTTCGGCAAAGCCGTTTTTCGAAAATTTGGAAAGGGGTAACATCATTAAAATGACGGAAAATCGACCCCAAAATACAAAACAAACTGAAAACGCAGTTTTTTAGAGAGTTAAACCACAATCATTTAGCAGTATACCATTTGTAAATCGGTTGACTTTAAGAAAAGTTATGGGCTTAGGAGTGCAGGTTTTAGGTGACTTTTCGGCAAAGCCGTTTTTCGAAAATTTGGAAAGGGGTAACATCATTAAAATGACGGAAAATCGACCCCAAAATACAAAACAAACTGGAAACACAGTTTTTTAGATAGTTAAGCCACAATCATTTGGAAGTATGCCATATGTAAATCGGATGACTTTAAGAAAAGTTATGGGCATAGAAGTGGAGGTTTTAGGCCACAATTCTGCAAAGCCGTTTTTCGAAAATTTGGAAAGGGATAACATCATTAAAATGACGGAAAATCGACCCCAAAATACAAAACAAACTGAAAACGCAGTTTTTGGAGAGTTTAACCACAATCATTTAGAAGTATGCCATTTGTAAATCGGATGACTTTGAGAAAAGTTATGGGCTTAGAAGTGCAGGTTTTAGGTGACTTTTCGGCAAAGCCATTTTTCAAAAATTTGGAAAGGGTCAATAATCTAGTTTGATATTTGAAAAAAAAAATTCTCTCACCCTAAAGTCCCAAGATACAATCCCAATAAAAAACAAGAAAGGAAAGCTAACTTCGGGCGGAGCCGAAGTTGATATACCCTTGCAGAATACTCTGTAAATTATATTCTCCAAAATTATTCATATGATGCATTCTTAATACTCATAAAAAATCCGAACTTCCTAACTTTAACAACAACAAAGTTATGGCATTTCCAATCGTTCAGTTATATGGCAGCTATAGGATATAGTCGGCCGATCCTTATGAAATTTGATAGGTCGGATTGATTGGCCAAAAATAAAATCCATAGAAAATCCCAACTTCCTAACTTTACAAACACCAAAGTTATGGCATTTCCGATCAATCAGTTATATGGCAGCTATAGGATATAGTCGGCCGATCCTTATGAAATTTGGTGGGTCGGATTGATTGGCCAAATATAAAACCCATAGAAAATCCCAACTTTCTAACTTTACAAACACCAAAGTTATGGCATTTCCGATCAATCAGTTATATAACAGCTATAGGATATAGTCGGCCGATCCTTATGAAATTTGGTAGGTTGGATTGATTGGCCAAATATAAAACCCATAGAAAATCCCAACTTCCTAACTTTACAAACACGAAAGTTATGGCATTTCCGATCAATCAGTTATATGGCAGCTATAGGATATAGTCGGCCGATCCCGGCCGTTCCGACTTATATACTGCGTGCAAAGGAAAGAAGGGTGTGTGCAAAGTTTCAATCCGATAGCTTTAAAACTGAGAGACTAGTTTGCGTAGAAACAGACAGACGGACAGACGGACAGACGGACATGGCTATATCAACTCAGGAGGTGATCCTGATCAAGAATATATATACTTTATAGGGTCGGAGATGTCTCCTTCACTGCGTTGCACACTTTTGACCAAAATTATAATACCCTCTGCAAGGGTATAACAACATTCTATTATGATATGAATATGTTTTATTTAAAATAATGGAAATTACAATAAATGTTATATTTTAAAGACCTAATAAACAATTAGAAGAATTTCAGACAATAGAAACTAGCTTAATTTAGTACTAATGCTCTATGTATGTCTTTTAATTTCAGATATAAAATAATAACCGCTGAATATAACTCTTCGCTGTTGAGGTGGAAAAAGGGAGACGACGACTGGTAAATCCTGGATAACCTTGAAGACGACACTGAAGCCCGGCACAATTCCTTGACAATGCTGATCCTGATGTCCTTACCGCATTCCTGTATATATAATTTTTGTTAGTTTAGATATATCGGTTCTTAAATTACAGAATTCAAATAAAGGTGATTTTATACAAGAAAATGTTGCACAAATTTTATTTCTGGGGACTCATTCATTCTTTTTATACCCTTGCAGAGGGTATTATAATTTTGGTCAAAAGTGTGCAACGCATTGAAGGAGACATCTCCGACACTATAAAGTATATATATTCTTGATCAGGATCACCTCCTGAGTTGATATAAGCATGTCCGTCTGTCCGTCTGTCTGTCCGTCTGTCTGTCCGTCTGTCTGTTTCTACGCGAACTAGTCTCTCAGTTTTAAAGATATCGAATTGAAACTTTGCACACATCCTTCTTTCCTTTGCACGCAGTATATAAGTCGGAACGGCCGGGATCGGCCGACTATATCCTATAGTTGCCATATAACTGAACGATCGGAAATACCATAACTTTGGTGGTTGTAAGGTTAGGAAGTTTGGATTTTCTATGGATTTAATTTTTGACCAATCAATCCGACATACCAAATTTCATAAGGATCGGCCGACTATATTCTATAGCTGCCATATAACTGAACGAGTGGAAATGCCATAACTTTGGTGTTTTTAAAGTTAGGAAGTTGGGATTTTTATGAGTGTTAAGAATGCATCATATGAATAAGTTTGGAGAATATAATTTACAGAATATTCTGCAAGGGTATTTCAACTTCGGCTCCGCACGAAGTTAGCTTTCCTTTCTTGTTTATATTTTCTTAATAAATAAGTATCGGAAACCTTTTATAAGTTTATTTAAAAGGAATATATTTTTACAAAATTAAAC